GCCTCCTTTGTGTGTCTGAGGCGGTAAATTTTGATGAGAGTAGAACTCCTCATCTCCCTCCCTCAGAGCAGCGGTGGGTCCAAACAGCTGGCCTTGAGGCTAGCAGCTCAGTGTCCGGTCCACTCTGCCACCAGAGCTCCTGGACTAACTCCAAAAGCAGAGCAGATGCGGGTTATTTCGTGCAAGGATCAGCCATCTTCATTCCGCTCCAAAATAAAGCCAAGTGCCCAGTCAACCCAGGGTAACAGGCTGCCACATCATAAGGGCCTGTGACGAGGGCTCTGAGCCACCAAGGAAGGATGAACTGATGCTCACTCACCAGGCTTCTAAAAGCCAAGGTTAGAAAGCGGTCCATTCGGATGATTAAAATTTTAACAAGTGTTGGCACTTTATAAAAATGAAGCTTAAGGATTAAAAATGCGATGGAACGCTGCTTGCCAGCTTGTCCGCACAGGGGTTGTTCCCCGGGAGGGGGGATTGGAAAACAGGGTGGGGCAGGATGGGGGAAGGATGGTGGCTGCATCTTTAAATTCATCTTTTCTTTAAAATGAAGGGAAAACAATCAAAACAGATGGAAAATGGTGAATTGCTATCAAATCTGGGTCTGGTCACAGGAGTGTCCAGAATGTCGTTTGCCTTCTTTTCTGCTTGGTCCAGCTCAGAATTTACATGTTTAAGCATGTGTCTTGGGGTTCCACACCAAGTGTCTTTGAAGTGCACCTGCTGTTTGGCCCAACATTACTCCTTCTGAAAGTGTACCCCAGAGATGGAAGGAAGAGTATTCTCAGGGCTGGATTACTGGCAGGCTTGGAGGTGACTGGGTAGATGGGCAATAGAGTGACTTGGACTGTTGGAAGCACTGTCCCTCATTTAATATCAGCACCAATCCGGAGAGAGAGACAAGGGCCCCTACTGCAAAGTCATGGGAAGTAAAGATGTTAAAGATGCATCCATAAGACAGAACCAGGATGAAGATTCTAGATTCCTGATTCTAAATGCGATCCCTCCTCCGCACTAGAGAACTAAAACTGGGAACTGGGGGTGGGTGGAGGGAAGAATATGCAGACAGCGTCAATATAGGCATGGAGAAAATTCTAGAAGGTATCCTCCCAAGTGTTAGAACCAAAACTTACCTGTTAGCAACCATTATGGTTGCCGTTATACTTTGGGGTGGTTCCCCCTCTTCCTCCCCTGCCCCTCACAAGGTTTTCTCTTATGAGCACACAGGCTACCTTCTATAATAAGAAAATAAGTCAGCAAGGGTGAGAAGGAAAAGAAGCAAAGCCCAGTTACATTGGGAATTTGCCGAGCATCCATGTCTCATTCACGCTCTGTAGGATAAATCAGATATCACAACACTTAATATGATGCACTTACGATAGTTGTTTTCCCGGAGGCGGGCGGACCCAATATTAAAATCTTCGGCACTGTGGAATAAAAAAGATGTACATGTCACCACTTGGTGTGACAAAGCGGCCTCCCATGCCCGCAAGTGCTCGGGGTGTATTTATTTCCTTCCTTCCCAGATTTCGTTTTCCGCAAGTGACGTGGCCATTTGTAAGCCCACGACTCCACGACTCCCCGACTCCCGGCGCTCGCTCCCCGAACACACTCCCTGTGTTTAGAGAGGTAAGCGATCACTGAGATGGTGTATTTTTCTCTCTCCAAGGGGACACGGACACAGGACCTGGCTTACCAAACTAACACACAGCAAGAACAAGTGGGATTCCAGACACCATAAAGCATTTTAAACAGGGACTTTGTCACGGGCACGCTCTCGCAAATAAAGCTGTATTTTATGGAAATCGACCTGCGAAGCTTTTTTTTAAAAAAAATTTATGCCTTTTTATTTAGCGAATTGTATTCCCCATCATTTTACGGAAAGAAGTAATGGGGGGAAAGTCTGAAGTGTATGGACCAGATTTATAAAACCCAAGATAGGAAAAGTCTTTGTTTTCAAACATGGGCGTTTCTATGCAAACGGGGGAAAAAGCAAAAAACAAAAAACTGGCAGCTTGCTTCAGTTTTTTTCTCAGCTTGCTTCAGGTAAGTCCTGGCTCTGGTACATTCTTGCCCCTTGGTGGCCTGAAATGGCCACCAGACTACCTAGTCCTCCAGGTAAGCTTGAGTCAGTGTACTTACTTAGTCTGTAGTGAACAGCTGTACCGTGTGTTTGTAAGTAAGCACACACAAATCCATGCTTACCTTGAGCACTAGGTAATCGGCCCCTGAGACAAGTGAGTCCGATGTTGGCCATTGGAAAAGACAAGACCAGCATCTTCCCAAGAGCGCCCAAAGGTGTGTGCCCTTGAGGCAAAATGAGGGTGCCATGACAGGGTGTCGAGCAGATGAGTTCCCGTTGTTCCCGCTGAGTGCCTGCCAGGGGGGCCAAAGGGATCCTGAAGCAGAGGCTGGGGAAACCAGACCTGTGACCTTGTCCACCTTTGCCTGACCCCTGACACAGCAGATGCATCCACAGAAGTCCAGTCCAATTGGCTCGAGCCTCCCCATCTAGCTGCAGAGGCCATTCCTGCCAGGCCAGCGGGAGGGTTCTCCACACGTCCAGGAAGTGGGCGTGTGAGTCCTTCTGGCTTTGAGGTAGACACAGAGAAGGCTCGGGCCTGACAAACCCCTCTCCCGGTGGGCCTGTGCCCACCTTGTAGCACCCCCTCGTTCTCACGGAAGATCTGGCAGGAAAGCTCAAGGTGGTTGACCCATTCACTGCGGACACTGGCATGTCCCGGACGCTGCTAAGGAGGGCAAGGTGGCCCGTGGCCCCCAGTGACCAGTCAGCAAAGCAATGGTGCTGGACGAGAATGGAGAATGAGTTGGTGCCCCTCACCCCCTAGTCCCTGGCAAGGGGGTTATTCTCTCCTCGGGGACGTAATAAGTCAGGGACACGCAACATGACTTTTCTGCTGTTTCTTGATTTGGATGTGTCCCCAGCTAAGTGCTTTAGTAATCCTGTTCTTCTCCACATATACATACATGTACATCCGCCCCCACTGATATCAACAATGGAGGTGACTTCCTTCTCGGGAGCCCAAGGGCTTTGCTGTAGGTGATGACAGGAATCAAGGGACATTTGAGGCAGGAGGGTCCTGGATGAGGCAGTGCCCAGGGTACCTTCTCTGGCATGGGGTCCTGCTAAGGAAATACATACTGTGACATCCAGCTGAGTAAACCACAGCAAACACTGTTCCTTCGGGATCAGGCTCAGGCGGGGCTGCTTCCTGTCCACCACAGTATGGTGGAAACAGCAGGCCAGAGGTCTATGTGTCCCTTTAAGTCCCCTTGGACCTCTAGGCACACGGCCTCACAGAAGGCTGGGACGCATCCTGATTATCCCTGCAGCGTTGCCCTCCAGTGCCTTGAACTTCCTCAGTAATGGGGAACGACCAGCCCTCGGGCTGCATAAGGCCCAAGAAATCAATACCAGTTAACATCGCACACCTCACCAGAGAAACACTTCCAGCCATCACATTAGGGGTGAGTTAAATTAAGTGCTTAACTCCTGTGGTCGGTGAATGGTCTTATAAATATCCAGATGGCCCTGCTCTACCTGGAGACCCTCCAGGGAGCCTCCAGAGGACCTCCAGGGAGCCCTGAACCATGGCCTCCCTTGACCTAGGAAGTTTGGTACTTGTGTGTCCTTCCCTTTGATAATGATCCCTCCACATCTCTGCCTTGTCACCTGTCACGTCCCCATCAGGAAGGCCCTCCTCGATCCAGCCCATCCCG